GGACTTTTCATCATCTTGACAGTTTCCATGACAGAGGAAAATTTTACTTTTAATCAAGTCCAATTCATCTACTATTTCTTTGATGGATTATGCAAAGTCATTTCCAAACCTAAGGTCATCTACATTTTTGCCTGTGTTATCTTCTAGAAGTTTTATAGTTTTATATTTATTTATGTTTGTGATCCATTTTGAGTTCAAAAGGATGTAAGGTCTGTGTTTAGATTCTTTTTTTTTTTTCATCTGTGGATATCCATTTGTTCTAGGACCATTTCTTTAAAAGGCTGTCTTTCTTACATTGTATTGCCTTTGCTTCTTTGTGAAATATTAGTTGACCATATTTATGTAGGTCTGTTTCTGGGCTCTGTATTCTCTTCTATTGATCTACTTTATTATTATTATTGCCAGTACTAGACTGTCTTGATTACTGTAGCTTTATAGTAAGTCTTAAAGTCAAGTAATGTTAGCCCTCCAACCTTATTTTCTCTTTCAATGTTGTGTTGGCACTTCTGAATCTTTTGCCTTTCCATGTTAACTTTAGAATCATTTTGTTGATATCCACAAAATGACTTTCTGGGATTTTGATTGGGATTGCATTGAGTCTATAGATCAAATTGTGAAGTTGAGTATTTTCTTTCCATGAACATGGGATATCTCTTCATTTATTTAGTTCTTTGATTTCTTTCAACTGGGTTTTGTAGTTTTCTCATATAGATCTCATACCCATGTTGTTAGATTTATACCTAAATATTTCATTTTGGGGGATTGAACTACTATTGGTGAACCTTGAGTATTGGCTTAGGCAAAGAAAGTCATATAAGTTGAGAGGAGTGCTGTATATGTCTCAGTTCCTGGAGATGTATAAATGTGTTTTTTTGGTATGTGTTGGGTTTTTTGTTGTTGTTCATTTTTTTGGTGGCAAATGTGCCAGTGGGCATGAACTGTGCATTTATTCATAGTTGATGTTGGATAGGTTTGTGGTGCTTAGGATGAAACATTCTTGTTTTGGAAAAAATATAATTTTTCAAGGATTAGAATAAACTTAGTATATTTGGAATTTTTTATAGTATTTAATGAATTACCTTCCCAATGGTTATGGCCAAGGTGGAGAGTTGTGGTCTAGATGGCAGTATACTTCAGTAAATTTATGACACTTAATCCCATTAATGAATTTTGTCATTACAGGTAGAAGCCCTCTCCATGTTCAGTTCCTTGCTTTGGTTAACAACTTAGATAAAAATATATACTTAATTGCTTATGAAATTTATGGATGGCATAAAGCTGGCAAGGGTGTTTAATTTGCTGGAAAATAAACATCTTTTAAAAATCTTATGCTATACTATAGGTCAAAACAAATTAAGTTAAAATTAATTAAGAAAAAGCTGTAAACTTAAAGGAATGATCTTTTAGTTGTTAAGTCTTTAAGAACTATAAAATAGTTTATCATCCAAACTACTCACTTTACAGCTGATCTTAAAAGCAGAGGCTTTTTGGACACAATGTGAACCAACAATGTGATATGATTTACAAAAACCAGTGTAGTTTTAAACTATATTAATAAAAGCATATTTTTCAGAATTAGGGAAATAATAGTCTGATTTTTGAATTGATCTGGGAAATTGCATTCATTTCTGCATACCACATTTAAGATGGATAATGACAAGTATCTATTTTAGAGATGGATAATTTTGGTGATATAGAGTCTTGAAATCATATCACATGAAAAACATCTGATAGTCCTTGAAATATTTTGTTTGGGAAGGGAAGATAGAGCAGCTGTGCCTCGAATACTTTTGAGGCACTATTGTGCAACAAGGGATGCTTAATCTTTGTGAGTCTAGTATATAAGACCAGTATATGCTGGAAGATTATTTACCTGAAGCTTATTCTCTCCAAATTGCCTTTACTAAGTTGTTCTGTCATAGTATTCAGTTTCAGCACTTCTAAGAAGCCATCATATAGAAACAGTTTTTATAGTTACCAAACTGTAGTTGAAATGTTCGTTAATCCATTTCACAGGAGAAATTTCTTTAGTTTTGTTCCAGGAAAAGTAGTTTTTATTGGAGAATTGGTATACTTCTTTCTTTTTGATATGAAAATTTTAGGTAATCTTTTTGGTCCCACCTTGCAGAAACATCATAAAGAAATATGACAATTTTTTTAGTGTTGGAACGTACAAACTAAAGTAACTTGTCTTACATAATACTTTCCTATCAGTGAAATTATACAAGTATACAAGCATATGCTGAACTTACCTTACAAGCTGTTGTTGTTGAAGACAGAATTCTTTAGAAGTGGTCGAACTAGAATATTTTATGACTTGTTAAGAGATTATTTATCTTGCTGCAGCATAACAATAATGAGAGGTATTCCAGAAATGTTAGGCAGTAAGGCTTAGCTCAACTGCCATCGGATTTTCATGGCAGAAAATACACAAGGAAAATACATTCAACATTCAAAATAGTAAATATTTATGGAAAAACCGTTAACTATATGATCAGCTCTGTGTTAGGATCTGGGGATACTATTTCTGCCAAATTAATTACAGTGTAATAGGTAATCTAACCAGTATATAAATCAATACATTTTAATGCTGTGTACACACACATATTTTACAACTGATTAGGTATTTTGTATGATTTTTAAATAAGAGTTGACATTTACTAGGATAGGTTGACATTTACTTGAAGAAAAATTTTAATAGGTGTGGCATGATGTAGAAGTAGAAGACTTTCTAGGCAGGCTCGTTTTCTGAGTCTGACTTAACCACTTACTATGTGATCTGGAACACCTTTTCAGACTTCCAGCTTCATCGTTTGTTAAAGTGAGGTTAATGCCTGCTTCTTAGTTACTGTTGTGAGTATTAAATGAGATACTGTATAAGTGCCAAATGTGGAGCCAGGCATAGTTTGCATTCTCTTTCTCTGAATATATTGTCATTTCTAGTATTATAATTTTCAATCTTTCTAAGACCATTGAGAAATGTGGCTCGTGATGTAGTAGCTTGCATTTTTGGCCATTATTTAAGAAAATAAACCAAATAGAGTATTATATGAGTATTTTCTGTATTTGTGTGTGTATTCGTATGTATACATATGTATGTATACATGCATATGTAAAATACTCAAAGCAATATTATATATAGAGAGAGAGCTTCTTTTGCATTCCATCTCTTTGCTTCTATTCCCTTGAATCACTGTATACTTCAGATAAGTGCTTCATGAAATTTGGTATATATCATAAGCAACCGGAGACCTTATTAAAATGGATTTCCCAGGGTGTCTGATTGAGACAGGTCTGGAGTATGGCCCCCAAATTTGCATTTTGTGCAAGTTCCCAGGTGATACTGGTCAGATGATCTGGATATCACACTTTGATAACTACTGCTTTAGAGTATTCAAAGCAACATTCATACTGTCTACATTAGAATTATATATTCTATTAAATCAGAGGGAAAGATATGTAAGTAGTACAATCTGAACAGTTAAAGGAGAAGAATTTTTAATATATATGAATATATATGTGTAGAAGTTGTAGTTTGACTTTTAATAGTCAGATCCTGGCCAGGCATGGTGACTCACATCTCTAATCCCAGCACTTTGGGAGACAGAGACAGGAGGACCACTTGAGCCCAGGAGTTCGAGTCCAGCCTAGGCAACCTAGTGAGATGCTGTCTGTACAAAAAATTAAATAGATAAAAGAGGGGAGGCTGAGGTATAAGGATTGCTTTAGCCCAGGAGGTTGTTCAAATAGGTTTAGCTACATGTAAAACTGGATATCCAGTATAGGAAAAAAAATGTAGTTGTTATTTTCTTTGAAGAATCCTGATAAGTAATGAACATTAGAGAGAATGCTTCATTTCTTCCTTTGTCCTGCTGAAGCCTCCAGCTATACATATAGTCATATGTTATAAAAAAAGTTTTACTAGTAGATATTTCATTCTTTGACAAGCACACATTTTGCATAATAAGCTTATTTTGGCACTTGTATTTACTTCATCTTTTTTTTCAGCTACGCAAATACTGACTTTTCTTTTTTCAATTTCTTAGATCCTTGTTTTGGTTCAGAGGAGGTGGAGAGATTTTTCATAATACTTAACACAGTAATTGATGTGAATTAAGAATCAATAAATACTTGTTGAATTAGTTAATAAATGAGTAAAATATTTAGATCCCATGAAAAATGAAATATTAGAGATTTTAGATGAGAATATATTAAAGATACTTAATACAATGTACATTTTGAGATCATCTCTCATTTCTAATGTATAAAACACATTGAAATTTACCCAGAGCTACTGTGGCTACCAAGCAATTTTGCTTATAGGTATGTTTCTCAATTTCAGTGTCTTAATTCTGTTTTCTTTCCATTGTGCTATTATGATTAATTCATTAGAATTCTTTCTTCAGTTTGTCCTTCCATATGCTGAGACATCTTCTTGCAAATAATGTAGCTTCCTTGAGCTATGTTTACTATACTGCTTTTTTATGCATTCTTTGTCTTTCTTATATTTTGTCAGTCAGTAGAACACTGTCTTATCTCTAGTTGTTTGTTCGGTAAAATAAAAGTGAAATTCAAACTCCAGCTAATGTCAATATTACTATAAAAGGTCTGGGCTTAATTTTGTACCACCAAACAGAAATATTTACAAGCTATAAACTCTCTTAAGTCCTCCATTCGTTCTTCCAAAGATTTTTATTACCCACTTTCCCCAAAACTTTAGTAGGCAGCCTTTTCTACTTTGTTCCAGTCTGATTTCAAACCAGGAATTGGACATTTCAATTCATTAACTTATTAGTTCAACATTTATTCTATATCTACAACCTATACTTGGTTGTAGGAATATGGAAATGTTATTCTAAGAATAAACAACCTCGAGGAGAAACTGCAGTGTATTATGACATACGCACCAACAGGATAGGCATGAACTTACAGCATGCCTTTTAATTTAACTTGGTATCTACTCTTTAAACTTTAAATGCACACTATTTTTTCTTTTTTAGGTCCTTTTCCATGTGATATATGTGGTCGCCAGTTTAATGACACTGGAAATTTGAAACGTCATATAGAATGTACTCATGGCGGAAAGAGAAAATGGACTTGCTTTATCTGTGGAAAATCAGTACGAGAAAGGTGAAGAATTATCTACATACCCAGAAAAATCCTAGTGTTGTTATGTAGAAATAATGAATATGATTTATAAGTGTTAGGGTAACATAAAACATAAAATGCATGAATTGTGCTTTAGTTTGAAATACAAGGAAAAAAGGAATTACATGAATGTTATGGAAGATGATATGGAGTCAAGATTTGCAGGTTTTAGATGGATGATTTAATGTACGTATTTTATTTCTTTCTGAAACCCCACTAAGCTAGACTAAGAGTTTTTGTTTGTTTTTTAAGAAGAGTAAGCTACAAAGATAGGGAGAACAGAAATGTAACAGGAATGACACAGGTTTGGGAGCTATAAAACAGGTACATCAGTGGTAATTGACTTAGCAGATCCAAGAAAGACAAACCCCAAAGTGGAAATGGAGAAATATGAGAAGGTAGTTTACATCACAGAATGTAGATATCACCTAATCACCTAATACTGGCAATATTAGGTACCTCAGAACTGGGTTGAAGGAGAGGCACAGCAAGGAGCACTACATTAAAAACTTCAGAAGTTTTAGGAGTAATATCATCGGATTCCCTTCCACCATCTGCTCATGCCATTGCTACTAGACACCTGTCCCTCTCCCAACAGAGTATTGCTAGACCGAAGTATGCCACGTAGCTACATGACGAGATATATTCTGGATGCTGAAAGTAGTGATCCTCAGGCCTTCTCTCTGCAAATATCTTGGCTTTTTGGTGTACCACTTGATAGGGAATACCTTTGCCCTTAGGTTGCTCAGACTTTTAGGACTTCTAATCTGTTTCCTGAAAATCTGAGCAACCTAAGGGCAGATATATTCCCTAACAAATGATACACCTAGATCACCTATAGTGAAGGCTGAGTCATCAAGACCCCCCCATGTCTTTTGCCCTTCTCAGTCACTTTTTAGCCTATCATATTTAATCAAAAGCAGATAGCCAAGGATTAGAACATGTATGAGGAAAACCTTTAACATAGATAATAGATTCTAACACAGATTAATGGAAAAAAAAAACTTTAAGGAAACAGATTATTAAGGAAGAAGAAAATTTTAGAAGTAAACAATTACTACTTTTTTGCCCCAGTTGAAGATATCAAATCCATTAAATAAGAATAGGATGATATATAAAAGGAACACTCAAGGAATAATGTAGAGCTCCTGGAAATTCAAGGCATGATGGCCAAAGTATAGACCTTAATGGAAGGGTTAAAGGCCAAAAAGTAGAGCAAAAACCAGATATATAAACTAATGATTAGAACAGTAGAGGACCAGGCAAGTCTAGCATCTGAATAATAGGAGTTTTAGAAAGAAAGAACAGAGAAAATAGAGGGGAAAATCACCATCAATATAATTCAAGGTGATTTCCAGAACTGAAAGGTATGAATTTGCCAGATAGAAATGACACATCATATGCTTAGATGAAAATAGACATATACCAAGGTACATCACTATGATATTTCAGACAGAGAGAACAAAGGGAAACTTTTCTATGCTTCTAGAGAGGGAGAAAAGTCACACACATTGATTAGAACTACTTGGACTTTTAACAACATCGACAGTTGAAGTTGGATCATAAAGTAGTGCCTTTAAAATTCTGAACGAAAATAATATCCAAACTTGAACTCTGTTCTCAGTCAAACTAACCAATCAAATCTCAAGATAGAATAAAGATATTTTCATGGTGTCAAAAAATAAGCCTTTAATGTATTTTTTCTCATAAAACTACTGAAGGGTGTGCTCCACCAAAATGAGGAAATAAACGCATAAAGAGGAAGACAGGGGCTATAGAAAATAATTGTAACATGGGGGAGAAGCAAAGAGAGAACACAGGAGGATGGTGAAAGAAGATCCCAATATGTCGGGTGTGCAGCATGTGTAATGGGCTGACCATACTGTTAGTAGTATGACCCAAGACATGATGGAGATTATTGCCACCATCCCTGCTAGCATGTTTCTTTTATCTGTACTATGCCTCAGTCTAGTACCTCTGTGTGCTAATGAGGTTCCTACTCTTTTTTTTTGAGACAGAGTTTTGCTCTTGTTGCCCAGTCTGGAGTGCAATGGGGTGTGACCTCAGCTCACCGCAACCTCCGCCTCCCAGGCTCAATTGATTCTCCTGCTTCAGCCTCCCGAGGAGCTGGGATTATAGGCATGTGCCACTCTGTCCAGTTAATTTTGTATTTTTAGTAGAGGTATGGTTTCTCCATGTTGGTCAGGCTGGTCTCGAACTCCCGACCTCAGGTGATCCGCCCACCTCAGCCTCCCAAAGGGCTGGGATTACAGGCGTGAGCCACCGTGCCCGCCTCCTACTCTTATCTTTTGGCCCTTTTGCTTGATTTAACTGAGGATACTCATTTCACAGAAATTTCCTTTTTTGAGCTCTTCATGAGAATTAGAGGCAGGTCGTGGTAAGCTTAGAAGGAAAATATATAGAGCAGCCTACTTACTTTGACTATTTCTGCCAGACTTTTGGTAACTGGTCTATTCTAGCTCTGCCAGATTCTCCGACTATGGTGAACCCTTTGTCTTCCAGTATTTCTCATCACTTTAATTACTGACATGCCGGAAGGAGCTAGACTCTGACCTGGAGTTCCTGTTCATGCTGTCTCTGGGCCCTTTATTTAATAGTGGCAACATTGTTAGGTTCGTGCTTGTTATTCAGTTTTTCAAAAGCATATGATATCTTGTTTAGTTTTTTATTCTTATCATGCAAATATGGAGTATACTTATGCAAACCTAGATAGTATGGCCTACTACACATGTAGACTATGTAGGCTATGTGGGGAGAGAGATACAACAAGCATGTCTGTATACTAGTGAGAATAGTACAGTAAAGAACAAAATATTGTAGGAGAAAAAGGAGAGAATTGCCATAATGTCAGTTAGCTTGAATATGTTTCTAGTAAGTTTTCTGGAAGTCTATTATATATCTAATTCTGAGGAGGGGTGGTAAGGAGGATGAGATCAGGGAGGAGTAGAGGGAGACATCCTAAGGTACTAGCAATGTGCTTATTCTGCATATAAGTGTTTACCATTCTTTAAACAGTACTTATACATTTTTTACACTCCTCAGTATATAAAAGTTTTGCAATTAAAAAAATAGAAATGCCATTTTCTTAAAATAGCAGATATTATGGTAAAATAGGAAAATAAGTATACTATCTGAAAGCATTTACACATTTATAAATTATAAAGTTTATTATGTATTATACATTCATTTTTCCCCTTAAATATCTTTCTGTAAAAACGAAAAGCAAACAAGGCAAAACAAGTAACCCAGAGATAATCCTTCCATCTTTTACTACAACTATTTAATAGGTAGGAATATTTTTAGGGATATTTTCCTCAAAGCTGGGTGTAGCTACAGACTGTCGTGTTGGTGGGCCTTGTAGAAGAGAGCACCATCTTCTGGCAAAACTCTTACTTTTATTTCAGATTCATCTTTTAAACTTACTAGGTATGGGATTGAAGTAAAAACCCAGTACAGTCATGTGTCTCTTAATGATAAGGCTATGTTCAGAGAAATACATTGTTAAGTAGTTTTGTCATCATGCAAATATAGAGTGTACTTATGCAAACCTAGATGGTATAACCTACTACACATGCAGGCTATGTGGTTTAGCCAGCCTATTGTTCCCAGGCTACAAACCCCTATCACATGTTACTGTACTGAATACTGTAGATAATTGTAACAGTGGTAAGTATTGATATATCTAAACATATTTAAGCATAGAAAAAGTACAGTAAAATATAGTATAAAAGATAAAAGAATATATATGTTTGTGTAGGTTACCTATCATGAGTGGAGCTTGCAGGACTAGAAGTTTCTCTGTGAGTCAGTGATTGAATGGTGAGTGAATGTGAAGGCCTAGGACATTATTGTAAACTAATGTAGACTTTATAAACACTGTACATTTATGTTTCACTGAATTTATTTAAAAATTTTTTCCTCACTAACAGCAGGTTACTGTAACATTTTTATTTTATAAACTTTTGATTTTTTTCAACTTTCTGACTCTTTTATAGTAACACTTAGCTTAAAACACACATTGTACAGCTGCATAAAGATACTTTATTTTCTATGAGCTTTTTTCTATTTTCAATTTTTTTATTTGTTTTACATTTTAAACTTTTTGTTGTTGTTGTTAAAAACAAAAGACACAAACACAAACATTAGCCTAGGCCTACACAAGTCAGGATCATCAATATCACTGTCTTCCACCTGCACATCTTGTCCCACTAGGTTATAGGAATAGTGTAGCTCCATTGTAATCTCATGGGACAACATTGGTGTATATGGTCTGTCATTGATTGAAATGTCATTATGCAGTACCTGACTGTAGTAGTGATAGCTAAAAGCCTGCAGAGGTCAGTTCATATTTGCCTTTCGCTTTATTTCTTCCTAAAATAACTTTGTCCATTATTACTCAGCACTTTAGATATGTGGGGAAGCTTTGAAGGTTAGAACTATAGGAATTGCTGGTGATGTACTTTGAGGAGTAATGGTTTCACAGGAGCCCATTCAGGGCCAATGGGCTTGAAGACTTAGGAATAGTAATAATTATATTCTATATATAAGTTCCTTTTTCACATCAGCACCTGGAAGTTAGAAATACCTACAACATTTTCTTTGTTTTAAACACTTTTTCAACAAATATTGAGCACATATGTGGAAGAAAAAGTACTGATAAAGTGGATTACTTAAATATTAAACCCTGTCTATCAAAATTCAGATGAATTTAATTCAGTGTCATAATTAGCATTTTAAAATTATACTTCTTGAAAGTCTGCTTAGGTTGTATAATTAAATCTCTGAGCAAACCAATGGCAAATAAAGCCAAAGCATTTTTTTGTTTTTAATGAAAGAGAGATATAACAAACATATTTCTATACTAGTGAGATTAGTACAGTAAAGAACAAAAATACTGTAGGAGAAAGAGGAGAGAATTGCCATAATATCAGTTAGCTTGAATACCTTTCTAGTAAGTTTTCTGGAAATCTATTTACTATATACATTGGCATTTTAAAAATCTCTGAATATACATATTTTAATACAGAACTACTTTGAAAGAACATTTGAGAATCCACAGTGGAGAAAAGCCTCACCTTTGTAGTATTTGTGGGCAAAGTTTTCGTCATGGAAGTTCATATAGGTAAGTAAAACCATTTTTTCCCTTTATTAAGTAAGGTAGAATTATATCTCCATTTTAGTTCTATTTTCTTATTACTTTAATTAAGTTTGTTGAATTGCAACATTTATTAGTCCTTATGATATGCAATATTATGCAAAAAACTTTACTGCAGAGTTTTTTTTTGAGACGGAGTTTCACTCTTGCTACCCAGGCTGGAGTGCAATGGCGCGATCTCGGCTCACTGCAACCTCCGCCTCCTGGGTTCAGGCAATTCTCCTGCCTCAGCCTCCTGAGTAGCTGAGATTACAGGCACGTGCCACCATGCCCAGCTAATTTTTTTGTATTTTTGGTAGAGATGGGGTTTCATTAACTAAACTTTGTGTTATCTTTATTCTGTGGTATAAAATATTATTAAATATTTTTTCGTACCACATTTGTAAGGCTTTACTAAGGCATTATTTAAATATTTATTTCATTACTTTTCTTTGAATGAAAATTCATTTAAGCAGTGTATTTCTCCACTCTTTACTATCAAAGAATGTGTTAATATTTAAAAAAAGGCAAAATTAAAAGCTCCCCATTCTCAATTTTCAAATGTCTTCTGCGCATTAATAGTGATTATAACTTATTTATTTTTGTGGTTGAATCATTGACCACATTTGCAAAACTATATGAAAAGTTTTTTCTAAATAAATAACATGTAACTACTTCTGAAATATGTGTACAATCTTAATTTTTATTAAAATATTCTTAAGAATTTTAATCAGAAGGCTTTAATAAGTACACTTTCATTTATTATTTATCTTGTTTTAAGTTTAAATTGAATACTTCCCCTTTAGAGGTAGTATAGTCAGTTGGATTTGGTCAAATCAATACCGATTTTGGAAATTTGCAAGGAAGGCTATTCCTTTCATTAGGATATGCAGAGAGATAAAAGCTCTGGAGATAAAATTAATTCAACTAAAATTAATGCTAATAGCGTGTAATTTTTGTAATGTCTTTGGGTGGCTATAAAATGAGTCCCATTTTGTTCTGTTGGTGTGAAGAAAAGCAGTAAAATGTAATTTTTATAAAGTTTAGTTCTCGTAAAAGATACAAAATACGTTTTTTTTCTTTATTTTGAGATAGAGTCTTACTGTGTCACCCAGGCTGGAGTGCAGTGGCATCATCTCAGCTCACTGCAACCTCCGTCTCCCGGGTTCAAGGGATTCCTCTGCCTCAGCCTCCTAAGTAGCTGGGACTACAGGTGCCTGCCACCATGACCAGCTAATTTTTTGTATTTTTAGTATAGATGGAGTTTCACCATGTTAACCAGGATGGTCTCCACCTCCTGACCTTGTGATCTACCCACCTTGGCCTCCCAAAGTGCTGGGATTACAGGCGTGAGCGACAAGATAGAAAATTCTTAAATATCAGTTAGTGGTTGATAACAGTTATCCAGAATAGGATTACTTCTCAATTATTTGCTGTATTACTCTGTTTGTACACTGCTATAAAGACACCTGAGACTGGGTAACTTATAAAGAAAAAAGGTTTAATTGACTCACAGTTCTGCATGGCTGAGGAGGCTTCAGGAAACTTAAACTCATGGCGGAAGGTGAAGGGGAAGCAAGGCATGTCTTACCAAGGTGAAACAGGAGAAAGAGAGAGGGAGGGCAATTGCCAAACACTTTTAAACCATCAGATCTTGTGAGAACTCACTGACTATCATAGGAACAGCATGGGGGAAACTGCCGCCATAATCCAGTTACCTGCCATCAGGTCTTTCCCTCAACATGTGGGGATTACAATTGGAGATGAGATTTGGGTGGGAACACAGAGCCAAACCATGTCATTTACTGTGTCATTTGCTATCATCGTCATATGCCTATTCACTTGTACACTTACTTCATTTGTCTGATTCGAATTCCTTTCTGATTATTTCTACTTTAGATGTCTTTCCAGCTTTGGCCAGTCAGCTAGATAACAACCTTAAACATGTGATAGATTCACTGAAGCAGGTTTAGGATCTAATATGATGGGAAGGAATAATGTTGAGAAGTGGTTTGAGCATATACAAATGTTGAAATGCTTTCTTGAAAGAGATGAGTAAGGGACCCTGGGGTCAGGTGGTAAAAGACTGAAAATAACTCTGAAAGTCATAGCAATAAAGCCAATAATGTATGAGTGGTTGAGCAGATAGCCCAGTTTTCATTGTTTATTTCAGGCGTCCCCAGACTTTTTACACAGGGGGCCAGTTCACTGTCCCTCAGACCGTTGGAGGGCCGCCACATACTGTGCTCCTCTCACTGACCACCAATGAAAGAGGTGCCTCTTCCTGAAGTGCGGTGTGGGGGGGTGGGCGGCGGATAAATGGCTTCAGGGGACCGCATGCAGCCCACGGGCCGTAGCTTGGGGACACCTGGTTTATTTATTATTCATTCATTATTGAGCTTTTTCCTTCTGTGTCATCAGTTTTAATGGTGTTCATTTTTTTCTTTATAGACTTCACTTACGAGTACATCATGATGATAAAAGATACGAGTGCGATGAATGTGGAAAAACATTTATCCGTCATGATCACCTTACAAAGCACAAAAAAATACATTCAGGTATACTATATTTTGTAATGCTATTTCTAAAATCCTTTTTAAATACCTGAAAAGAACATAATATATGTTTATGTTGGCTAAGCGTAATAATTTTGTTTACGCACATCACCTCTGTAATTCTGTTTCTAAAAACATTTTTTAAAAAGCCTCCAAAGGGAATAAAGTTTTATGACATATTCACTGTAATTTTAATCATTTGGTCACCCTTTGTGACTATAAAGTGTAGTTTAAAGTTTAATTTTAAATAAATTCTCAAAATTTGCATTTTGCATATTACATGGATATGTCTAATAATTGCTATTGACACTTCCATAAAGGGAGAAGCCATGATAATATTTTTCATTTAGATTGGATTTGCGAAGAAGTTGGTGAAACTTACATGTTAAAGGGAAATGATTAAAATTGAGTGTTAAAAGTATATATTATAGTGAATTTTGAAACCCTGTCTTTGGAAAAGAGTACCTTAATAATCCTGACCAATTTCAGATCTTTATACTGTATAATTTTTATATTCTGGGGATTTTTTTCATATTTTCCCCTCAGATTGATGTTCAGGAAGTACTAAAAGAGCCAACTCTGTGAGCACAATAATGGGAAAGAGCCATCTCTATGAGCACAGTAGAACAGGTGATTATTATTATTATTATAAACAATGTGAATATCAAGTATGCAACAGACAGTAATTATTTTCTTAAATGATCATAGTGAGGTAGGTTGCAGTTGTTATCACCACATATAAGAGATATTAAAGATCCAGTGATTTTTTTTATTGGAATTATGCCTTTTTATTTTGAGGATGAGTATTCTTAATTTCCAAGTCTAGAGGCCACATGCTTTAATTTCACACGGGTATTGAGACAGTGATTTAAAAAAAAAAAAAAAAAAAAAAAAAGCCTTTATAAGTAAATGTAAGAATAGAGATGAGAAATTGGACTTAAATAGAATTTTTCATTATATTTGCATTTTGGCTCATTGAAAACATTAGAAATCCTCATAGATGAAAAAATCTTTTAAAAGTAAAGTACAAAGATCTGAAAATGTTTGGGTCCTTTTTATAAACAGTAAGACAGCCTTATCTTAATGTATATCCATTTTAGGTGTTTGATATCCAGACATACATATTTAAAATTCCTGATTTTTTAAGTAGTTTCATTTATCTTGCTTTGTTACGTTGTAAGGTGTGATTTGAAGTGTACAGCAAAAGTTTATTGATTCCTTTTCTAAGTGGGGAAAAGATTCATCTCCATGAAACTAAATATAAATTTTTTGAAGAAAGCTATTTGAGTAAGGAATATAAAGCAAATAGTGCAGAATAAAATGTGGCTTTACTTTCCTGTTATATTTGACATCACATGATCTTATTGTTTGGTAATTTGTTTCTGGGAAAAAAAACCTGAAATGCATATTATAATCAAAATATGTGGGTCTTTATTTTAAGGTGAAAAAGCTCATCAGTGTGAAGAATGTGGAAAATGTTTTGGTCGTAGGGATCATCTCACTGTTCATTACAAAAGTGTACACCTTGGAGAGAAAGTATGGCAAAAGTAAGTGAAAAAGCAAAATGTCTCATAATTTACATTGCTAAGTCTCTGAGGAAAGTTATAACTTTTTTTGTTTACTTTGTTTAATTGAAGTTAGGTTAACCAGTTCTTTTTCTTTGCATTCTGTAGCATCTCTGTAGACCTAAAAGAATTGAGCAAAGCATATTTTTTCCTGCTTGTTTTAGTTAATTCAAAGGCTAGAGAAGTGACATGCAAGTTAACAATAATGAATGCAAAATCTTGGCATTTGGTTGCTGAGTCTCTTTGAGAGCTAAATATACTGCCTGTATATTATACCTAATACTAAGCATTTAAAATGGTATTTTATTTGAAGGAGCTCTGTGCTATCTTGAACATCAACTTTTTAATATAATTTAGATATCCAAGTTTAACTGAGGTGAGTTGCTAAATGTAAAATATTCAAGTAATTCATGTTTTTGGATTAGGCATTTGGGCAAATGATAAATCACAGACATGTTCTAAAGTGCCAAGAGACTTAGCTTAATAGTCCTGAGCATGATTAGCAAAATGTACACAGTACAGAGTTAAAACTACAGCCTCACTTACTCCAAAGGTCCTGTAACATTTTTTCTCATGCTTTCTTTATAACCTTACAAATTATTTGGCACAAGAGCTTTTTAAAATGTAAATCATACAATAATATAATATGAATATATTTTAATGTATTAATATATCTTAATATAAATTATAATATGATATAAAATATAAATTATTTGAATCATTAGAAATAAAACATTTTCAAATATATATTTTCTATCATATGCTACATAAACAGCAATTTTTTGAGAACTACAAAACAAAATATTAAAAGAGCAACATTCTTGTACGTTTTTATAAATCTCTCATGTCTTAATAGAAAACTACAGCATTGTCATATCTGTTGTAATATGTTATTTTTGTTGAAGCAATGAAGAAAATCCAGCTTTACATAAATATGTAGTTGGAAAATAAAGGAATATTGTAATAGTCTTCTCAGGTAATTCTAGATATTCTTCTTTATTACTACACTAAAACTACCAAGTGGTAGTTTTCCTAAAGGGAGTTGTAAGGTGGAATGTGAAACCGTATTAATAAGGTTTTCACACTCTATTACATTCAATCTTGTACATTGATGGATTTTTTTTTACCATACATAATTTTGTAAGATCATGTGTTTGTTATTGAGAAAATATGGGCTGAGTTAATCAGATTTTCGAAATGTTTGCATATTTCACAGCATAGTATCAACAGATCACATTTGTTAATATTGCCTCTAGTCTCACAGAAAGGAATAAAGCTGTCAAGATCACAGTGGTAAATACAAGTATTCCAAAGTTCTTATATTAGCTTGAAAGCTCAGATTTTATCATGGATAGCAAACATTGTTGGTTGCTTTTCTTGAAGTGACCAGTCACTTCATTTAAGTTTTGAGAAGTGCTTTTCCCTGAGACAACCACCATGTTTTGGTATGCAGCAGAAGTGCTTCATGTATACTTATTTTATCAGTGAATATTTAAAACACCGAGGTCTGAAAGGTCAAAATATAAAAAAATTAGTAATCTTATTGTTTCATTACATTTTTTTTCTTTGAGTATAGAGTAGTAAATAATACAATTATTAGTAAATTTTAATACTACTGCTTTATTTAAAGATAAGATGCGAGCAGGGTACCAGCACTTTACCCACTGTTCCTTTTGCATCATAGTATCAATGTCAACATAGTAAAAAAGGCAGATAATGTCTTATTATTTTGAAAATAATGTTGATCTTGTGGACCCTGTGAAAGGAGTTTTGGAACCTACCATCACCTTTTATTTGACAGGCCTGTGGACCTATCTGCTGACCTAGATCATTGAGGAATTAGAATCTGTAAACTCCACTTTTTCAAGGACTGGCTAATGGTAATCTAGAATATGGAGCCCCATGTATCATTTTGTGGAACTTGTACTTCACTCTACGTGATAAAAAGCCAATGAAAGCCGGGCGCGGTGGCTCAAGCCTGTAATCCCAGCACTTTGGGAGGCTGAGGCGGGTGGATCACGAGGTTGAGAGATCGAGACCATCCTGGTCAACAAGGTGAAACCCCGTCTCTACTAAAAATACAAAAAAAATTAGCTGGGCGTGGTGGCGCGTGCCTGTAATCCCAGCTACTCAGGAGGCTGAGGCAGGAGAATTGCCTGAACCCAGGAGGCGGAGGTTGCGGTGAGCCGAGATCGCGCCATTGCACTCCAGCCTGGGTAACAAGAGCAAAACTCCGTCTCAAAAAAAAAAAAAAAAAAAAAAAAAAGCCAATGAAAATTTTAAATAAAAGAGTGTCACCACTGGATTTGTATTTTAGGTATATCAATTCTATTGATGTATGGAGGCTGGATTTGTGATGGATAAGTCTGGAGGCAAGTATATAGAGTAGTTAGACAGCTGTTACAATCTGAGAAAAAGATAATGAGGGATTAACTTGGGAGTAGCATTAGTAATGAAAAGCAAAGATATTTATTTGAGAAATATTTAGGCCGTTGTTAGCAATACTTCATGCTTGGCTTTGGGGAATAAGGGAATAAGGGCAATCATGGATGATTTCCGTTTTCAAGCCTGGGTAGATGATTCCAGCCACTGAGATAAGAGAATAGAGGAGATGGTTCATTTATAGAGGGAAATGATGAATTGTTTGGTGTTTATTGGCTTTGAGATGCTCAATATAAACTGTCAACATAGAATTTGATAGGTAGTAGTCTAAATCTCAGGAATGAAGTTTGGGCTATGAATAAATATTAAAGGTTGTGAGCATTATCAAAGAGTGCTAAGGATTAATACCCCTCCAACACCAATTATTTTTCTAATCTTTCCTTCTAAACTTTTTAAAATGGTGACTACCTCAGTATCCACTTCTTCACTTTCCAGTCACTGTTGCAGCCTGACCACTAATCTTATTCCTCTCAATCAGTTATCAGTATGACTTCCTTATTGCCAAATCCAATAGATATTTTTAAGTTCTTTTTTTACTGACATCTCTGCTTCATTTGGAATTATTTATCCACTCCTTCCTTGAAAATCTATACTGCTTAGCATTCATGTGATAATAGCAAGGTATATTTCCATAGGGTCTTAGCCATGCAAGGCCCCACAGAATTTATCCTAAGTCCACTGTGAGGAAATTAAAGTGTTTTGTATTTGTGTTAAAAACATTACTTTGTTCATAGTATAGAGTAAGCTTTCTTAGCCCAAACACTGTTGACATTTTGGACCAGGTAATTCTTTTCCTGTGCATTGTGGGATGTTTCTCAATATTCCTGGCTTCTACCTATTAGATGGCAGTAACACTTATTCTCCTATCCCCAGCTGTGAAAAATAAAAACGTCTTCAGGCATTGCCATGTTTTATTGGGTGGAGAGGTGGGGGGGTGCAAAATTGCTCCCAAAAGAGTACTAGTTCCTCTTTCTCTATGTGACTATGGTGACCTTGTTTGTATCTCTGTTTATATTTACCATGGATATAAATGAAATAAGGTAAACCAAGCATATTGATTAGGAGTCTTTTGCCAGGGTTATTATTGACACCCTCAATTCACAAAATTCAAATTATCTGTATAAATATCTGTTTCAGGAGTTTGACACCAGCCCGGGCAACAAAGTGAGACCCTGTCTCTACAAAACAATAAAATAAATTAACTGGGTGTGGTGGCATGGCATGTACCTGTAGTCTCAGCTACTCAGGAGGCTGAGGCAGAAGGATTGCTTGAGCCCAGGAGTTCAAGGGTTCTGTGAGCTACTATGATGCCACTGCACTCCAGTCTGAGTGACAGAACGAGACCCTGTCTCTAACTAAAATGAAAACAAGCAACTATCTGTTTTATCAAGTAGACTTAAGTTCCTGGAGGACAGTGCTTTGCATATTGTCTTATAAATGTTGGGTTGGATGAATTGAAAAGTGAGGGACATTTGAAAATCTAGGCATAGTATGTTTCTATTTCATATTGACAGCAATGTTCTAAACATTTCCAGTAAAACTCAATGGATATGTTAAGAGCAAACTGTCTTACAGAACATTAAGTAGCCCAGGTTTGAGTTAATTATTTTGCCATGTATTCATTCCATATGAACTGCTTCCAAGGTGAGATGATACGGCTTTCCCAATAACTGCCACTTAAATGATAATTGTTTTATAAATATCTCAATTCTCACAATAAAATTTTCAGTTGAGAATTGTTTAACTCAAAAACACTTCTTAGGCACTATGCTGTGGTACTTACTAAGTTAACTTTTTGCTAACTTATTGCTTTATTTCTGTCTATTTTATAATAAAAATGAAAGACTAATATTTCAATTTTAAATTTAGGTATAAAATTTATTTTATTTATAAGTTAAAATTTACAGCTTTTTGTTAGGACATGAACCGATGAGAGCACTTTCACCTTTTTGATAAATGCAGGTTTTGAAATAGCTGCAGTTTCTTTTTAATCAGCCTGAGCATCTATTTTTTTTTAATTAAGGTGTAATTTATAGAAAGTGAAATTCATTGTTTTTAATGTATAGTTCTGCAAGTCTTGTAATCATCACCACAATTAAGATAAAAAATCATTCCATCACCACAAAATTTCTGTCATGTCCCTTTCTAGACAACTATTCATTTCCCCTTTAGGCCACTCTTGATCTGTTTCTATGCTTATAATTTTTCTTTTTGTATATTTGGTTAACTAGTAATAATAAAAGTTCAGCAACTTCAAGCAGTTGAAAAATCTATGGACCTCTTTTTATAGATTTGTGTGTTGGATGTAACTGGAAGAGGAAGAACCAGAGGCAAGCTCAATACTTTAAAAGAATTTCCATGTTTCTTGGGAGTTCTATGCTTTGTTAATATGAGAATTATATACACAGTTGTAAATGAAGTTGCAACTTATTTTCATTATGTTAGTTATATTGAAATTATATTGAAAAACTCAAATCTTTTTATCTTCTTAGATATAAAGCAACATTTCATCAATGTGATGTTTGTAAGAAAATTTTTAAAGGCAAATCAAGTCTGGAAATGCATTTTCGAACACATTCAGGTAAAATTTAATGGGTAGTTTATATATATAAAAATATATTTTGTCTAATCAGAAGTAAAATGTAGGCATTTAAACTTTGTTGTTCGTGGTTAAATTTCTTTGGTTTTCCCCATTAAGATTGTTACTTACTATATTGAAGTTCATGCCATGACTGATCAGTGTTCTCATCTTCTATTCTCTATTATGTAAGCTTCAATACTTTTAAATATTTTATAAAACTTGGGAAAAATTTTCCATAGGATATTCACTTAACTTTTCATTGTAATTTCCCCTTTTCTGGTTGTTTTATGGTTCTTCCTTATTTCGCTTCCTGAAGGCTTTTCTTAAGCCTTCAGATTAAATTCCTTGTTATCTTTTATTTTCTTCTCTTTTGAAAGAGTAATGCAAATATGACCTCACTGTCTTGTTTACCAAGTTACCATCCTGTAATTTTCCTTTTTACCTAGCCAGTCATGATTTAGAGGTAGTTGTAGTAGAATGCTTTGCCTTAGCTGCTTTCCAGAAGTTGTCATTTTCTGAAACTTTCTTTTCCCTCCTTGAGAATCTTACTACATTTTGAAATACAGAATACTTTAGATTATTTCTTACATATTGTCTGAGTCCTTGTTTGCCTTTACATATAAAATAATATTTTTGAAATATTTTTTTCCTTAAGAAACAAGCCCATTTATATATTTATTGCTGCTTTGTTTTATATTCCATTTAGATATGGTCAAGATGCTATTCTGGAAGAGAAAAATAAATGATTTCATGAATATTAGAATGGGAAATAACTGAATTTGGACAATATTAGTAGCAAATAGTTGCAATAAAGGATTTACCACTGATACAGCACTGCTGTTAAAAGCAAAGTTACACCCGTCTCCAAATGGGAAAAAAAAAAGCATAATTTGGCAGTGCATAAATAAAAGTATGAAATGACAGAAAGAACTTAATGGCATCTTCCATATCTTTTGTAAATAATTAACCCAATAGAACTCATGACTTGAAAGAGGTGGTGAACTTATAGAAAGTTAATTTGAAACCATTGATGAATTAAGACTTATAAAACTTCAAGCAGTTTTCCAGAGGAGAAATTTAGTGCTGACTACATTGCATCAGAATTTTTAAGAACACTGATTTATAGTGATCGGTTGGTGATCAGTGACAATGTGGAACATCAATCTCCAGATATTTCACACTTAATTGATATTAGAGACAAGTCTCTCTGCCCTTTGAAAATTGAGGAAATGAGCTCTGTTATGGAATAAGACAAACACTATGACTATTATGAAATGAAAGGGAAAAATAATAGAAGGCAAGAATCAACAAATACTTGTAAAGGGCTAGATAGTAAATGTTTCAGGCTTTGCAAGCCAATAGTCTCTGTGGCAATCATTCACCTCTGCTGTTGTGATGTGAAAGCAGCCACAGACAATGTATAAACAGATAAGCATGGCTGTGTTCCAATAAAACTTTATTTATCAACTCCCAATCTAAAGTTACCAATAGTCTACCCAGACAGGACTTCACAGAGTGTTTTTTTTTTTTTTTCCTCCAAGAAGTGGTAACCATGTTCCCAAGTCCATTGTTGAGATTTATAGGTTCAGAAACTCAATTTTATCTGTGCATTGAGAGTTATAATTATTGTGAGTAATTCTTCACAGTAAACACTGGGAATAGATTAACCAGAATGTTATTAATTTACCTTCTAGAAAATGAGATATTAACGTTTACTAGCTAGGGTGTTGTTATCAAGGAAGGAGAATGGCTGAATTTATTAATCAGAAGGAAAATTGCCAAATGTTACTCTATATAGAGAGTAAAATAATTTTATGGAATAGTTTATCTAGGAAATGGTAAAAAAATATCAAACTGTCCTTACCCTCACAGAAGGTGACCAGAAAAATTTTGTTCTTCAGATTTTCTTAGGATACCCTTAGTGCATTATATATTTGCCGCTAAATTTTTGTTTTTAGAATTTCCTAAACTAGATTCCCTCTATACCTTTTTTTCTTCTGTTAGTATGCCATTTCTTTAGATCCTCATCTGCAGAAACAATAAAATGTGTTTGTTTCGGTTTTTGGCTAGTTCAGTACACCTAATTGCTTCAAATGAGTTTGTATAATCAGTGCATATCCTAGGGCTTGTGACAAGTTTGGCACTCGATAAATATTTGTTGAGTAAATAAATGTATTATGTTCTCCCATGACTATTCTTTAATTTCTTTGATTTTTTTTTTTTTTTTTTGAGACGGAGTCTACTTCTGTCACTCAGGCTGGAGTGTGCAGTGGCATGATCTCTGCTCACTGCTACCTCCACCTCGTGGGTTCAAGCGATTCTCCTACCTCAGCCTCCCAAGTAGCTGGGATTACAGGGACCTGCCACTATGCCCAGCTAAGTTTTGTATTTTTAATAAAGATGGGGTTTCACTGTGTTGGCCAGGCTGGTTTCAAACTCCTGACCTCATGATCCACCTGCCTTGGCCTCCCAAAGTGCTGGGATTATAAGCATGAGCCACCGCGCCCGGCCCAATTTCTTTGATTTTTTTTTTAAACCACACAGTTAGATAAATTAGTTGGAAAATGTATATAATATTTTCTTCTACAAATGGCTTATTCTAATCACGAGTTTTGCTTTTGCAGTCCTCAGAATGTAGTGATTACGAGTGATTACATCTATTCTTTAACAGTTGTCTTGTTGACACATTTATTAAATTGGCATAAACATGATCACAAATTTAGGACTTGATTTTAATGTTGACTGACTTTTTATTTAAAGTGAATTTTTTGTAAGTTTTTTTTTATTGAAGTATAGCACACAAAGTGCACAAATCTCAAACAGCTCAATTAATTTTTATGAATGAATCCATCAATGTAGCCATTATTCAGATCAAGATATAAAATACTACCAAGACTTCACAAGGATTCTCCATGGCTCCTCCCAGTCAGTAACCTCCTTGCAAAGATAATGACTATTTTGACTTATATTAATGCACCAAAAATTAGTTGTGTCTGTCTGAACTTCATATAAATGGAATCAGGTAGTATGTAATCTTTTTGGTCTGGATTCTTTTACTTGAGTGTGAATTCCCTTAAGGCAGTAATTTTCTTTTCATTTTCATCTTCATAGGACTGTCACAATTTATTCATTCTACTTTTTTGGATTCTTGGTTTATATTTGCTTGGCTCTCTTATGAATAAAGCTGTTGTGAACATGCTTGTCATGTCTTTTCATACACATATGCATTCGTTTTTCTTGGATATATTCATGGCCCTAGGATTCCTGGCTCATAGGATATGCATATGTTCTACTTTAGTAGATACTACTAAATAGTTTTTCAAGGTAATTGTGTTAGTTTACAACACCACTAACTGTGTATGAGAATCTCAATTGCTCCACATTTCACTAACATTTGATACTGTTTTTTTTTTAAATCTATCTGATAGATGTGTAGCATTATCTGAAAGTGGCTTCAATTTGCACCTCTGTGATGAGTAATGTTGTTGTTTCCCTGTTCTTATGCTTATTGGCCATTTGGGTATCTACTTTTATGGAATACTAGATTAATTCTCTGCTTATTTTTTAAAAATTGGAGTGTCTTTTTTAATGGGTTTGTAGGTATTCTTTCTACATTCTGAATATATATAGTATAGATATCTTCTCCTCTGAGACTTAGCTTTTCACTCGTAATGATGTCTTTTGATGAACAAAGGTTTTGAGTTTAAAAGAAGTCATGTATTATTTTTTTTCTTTACAATCCTTATGTGTCCTCCTTAAGAAACTTTTGCCTAACCCAAAAGTCATTACTATTTTTTGCTATTACCTTCTAGCAGATTTAACTTTCATATCTAGATCCACGAACTTTCTATAATATGTTTTGTGTTTGTTATTAGGTAAAGGTGAAAGTTCCTTTTTTGATATATGGTTATCCAGTTGCTTTTGCATTAGGTTTTGGAAAAACAATCCTTTTCTCACTACATTTAATTGGTATATTGTTGTAAATTAAGTGATCATATGTGTACTTTGTCACCTTCTTATTTTCAAATGTGTTTATTATTTTTGTCCCTTTGTATTTTTATGTAAATTTAAAAAATAGTCTGTTAATTTCCACACACAAAAATACTTGATGGGAATTATTGGAATTTCATTGAACCTGTGGTCAACTTTTCCTTAATTGATTTTCTTTACAACATTGTATCATCCAGTCTATGAACATCTCCATTAATTTGTTTAGATTTTTTTCAAAGATGTTTTGTGGTTTTCAGTGTAGCTATCTGACACATTTTGCATTAGATTTATACCTAGGTGTTTGATATTTTTATATGAAATTTTAAACATTTTTCAAATTTTATTTTATTTTTTGTTTCTGGTATATAGGAATAGAGTTCAGTTTGTTTATTGACTTTTTATCCAATGACCTTGCTAAATTCTCTTACTAACTTTTATAGTTTACCTCTAGCTTTTTTTTGACTTTTTAAAGCATGCAAACAGGTCATCTATAAATAATGACAGGTCATTTTACCCTTTAGTCTTTATAACTCTCTCTCTATCAGTCTTTTGGGTTAGGGAATACAGCCTTATAGCTTTGGTCACATCTCCAGTAAAAACAATGATAGTAGACATTATTTTCTTATTCTCATCTTCAAAGAAAAAGCTTTCAATAATTCACAATTAAATATGATTTCTATAGGTTTTGTTGTAGATAGTATTAGATAAGGAAATTACCATCCCTAGTTTATTTAGAGTTTTTGTCATGAATAGTTGTTGAGTTTTATATTTTTTCTACATTGATTGAGGTGATCATATTTTTTATTTTATTACTGTGATAAACTATATGATTGATTTTTGAATATTAAACCTCATTTCTGGAATAAACCTAGACTGGTTTGATATAGTACCTTACTAATGATATATTATCTTGTTCATCCTCTTCATGGTGTATTAAGGATATAATATATCTTGTTTATGTTGGGTGCTATGGCTCATACTATAATCCAAGCACTTTGGGAAGTCGAAGT